TCATGCTCTCTCTCTGTATCTCAAATGAATAAAATCTTGAAAAAACCAAAAAAAACAAAAAAACAAAATCAGAGTCTTAAATATAGAGAACTGGTGGTTGCCAGAGGGGAAGAGGGAGGAGAATGGGTGAAATAGGTGAAAGGGATTAAGAGTACATTTATTAACGATGAGCACTGAGTAATGTATAGAATTGTTAAATCACTATATCGTACACTTGAAACTAATATAACATTATATGTTAATTATACTGGAGTTAAAATATATATATACAGAACTTGTAGGTGTGAGATGTCAGGGAAGATAATCATAGCCTAAACTAGGAGGATAATGGAAGATTAAGTTTTACTCCAAGAAACTTTAGGATGAAAGACTCAAGAGTTTGGTCTTCAGAACAGACAGTGTCAGAAAAAGAGATGCAAAGATTACTCCAATTCTGAAGCTAAACCGAGAAAATGATTAATACCAATATTTGCAAAACTAGGGAAGTCAACAGAAAAATGGTTTTGAAAAGAGACCATTCATTAATTCATGCAATAAATATGTCAGGCAGAATGTGATACCTTCCCCTCAGAGAGCAGCTTGTGGGTCCCACCTTTTTTTTTTTAACAGTTACACTTTTTTTTTTAAGATTTTATTCATTTATTTGAGAGAGAGTGAGAGAGAGAGAGAGCACAAGGGGGGGAGGGTCAGAGGGAGAAGCAGACTCCCCACTGAGCAGGAAGCCAGATGTGGGCTTGATCCCGGGACTCCAGGATCATGACCTGAGCTGAAAGCAACTGCTTAACCGACTGAGCCACCCAGGCACCCCCAGTTACACATTTTTAACAGGCAAAGAGAAACTATACAGTTCTTTGAGGGGAATAAAAGCTTTTATAGCTTTTAATGCTACAACAATTTCTAAGTCCCACTTTTAAAAGAAAGAGTACTATACGGCGCCTGGGTGGCTCAGTTGGTTGGGCTACTGCCTTCGGCTCAGGTCATGATCCTGGAATCCCAGGATCGAGTCCCACATTGGGCTCCCTGCTCCGCGGGGAGTCTGCTTCTCCCTCACCCTCCCCACCTCATGCTCTGTCTCTCTCATTCTCATTCTCTCTCAAATAAATAAATAAAATCGTAAAAAAAAAAAAAGGGAAGAGAGTACTATAATAAAAATATTGAGCTGCTTTTCAAAATAAATGGAAAGAGGCAACAATGCAAAAGTGGAGCTGTTTAGTAAAAGATCTTAAGGAGTGGAATTACTATTTGAAAGCTTCTTGAGGACGAATTTATCACTGACTCTTTGCATCCCTCACAGTGCTGAGCATACTGCAGTGAGTGATCACTACAAAACAGATATTCAAATGATGGCTAAAGGAAGAGAGAAGAGTGAGAGCGGACTCAAGAAAAAACAAGTAGGAATGCCCTACCCAAGCCTCTACCCAGCATACCTAGAGGATCTACCCCTGTGAAAGTGTGTTAACCCTGTCACCCTGGCTGAAGGTAGGCTGATTATCTGGGTACCTCTTTAGGAGATCTAAAATACCAATAGAAAAACAGAAAGGAAATCAATTCTTATGAAAATATATATTGAAATTCTGCTCCCCACACTACTCCCTGGTAAGATTATCCCCAACCCTAACCTTAAAGGCAGAAAGAATGTAATTTTTTACTGTGTAGGGTTTGGGCTAATGCTAATTAAAGATACTCAAGGGCGGGCGCCTGGGTGGCTCAGATGGTTGAGCGTCTGCCTTCGGCTCAGGTCATGATCCCAGGGTCCTGGGATCGAGTCCCCAATCGGGCTCTCTGCTCCTTGGGAGCCTGCTTCTCCCTCTGCCTCTCTCTCTCTCTCTGTCTCTCATGAATAAATAAATAAAAATCTTAAAAAAAAAAAAAAAAAGATACTCAAGGGCATCCTCTCCTTTTAGACCATTAAAAGATATTTTTCTGGTTAAAAGTAATTTAAAAGCTTGGGGGCACATGGCTGGCTCAGTCAGTAGTAGAGCATGTCTCTCTTGATCTCAGGGTCAGCAGTCAAGCCCTATGGTGGGTGTAGAGCTTGCTTACATACATACATGCATACATACATACATATATACATACATACATAGTGCTTATACCATTAAAAAAAAAAGTAATTTAAAAGCCTAGATCTTAATAGTTAGTCCATTTGGCATACCACTGTTACCTACACCCATAGAACAGAGAAATGCAAAGTAGAGCTGCCTGCAAAGTGAGAGGCCGGATGCACAGGTGTTCCAAGTAGTTGCCAGGGACTGGGCTATTACTTCTAGGTTCCCCCAGCAGTTCAGATAATTACACACAGCCCCAACTTATCCAATATGGCTAAAAAGAGGAAAATGACTCGGCTTTTTAAATGAATAAATCTTATACAAATGCTTTAAGACCATCTCTTTCTCAAAAAGTTAGAACAGGGATGAATGCCTCAACACTGGCAAAGGCAGTATTCCAGGTAAGAGCTCAGGCTCTGGCTCCAGACGGACACGAGTTAAATCCCAGCTCTCCCAGTAAATAGCCCTGTAACCATCTCTGTTACTATATCTCCCTACTTTGGGGCACCTGGGTGGCTCAGTCGGTTAAGCGTCTGCCTGAGGCTCAGGTCATGATCCCCGGGTCCTGGGATCAAGTCCCACATCAGGCTCCCTACTCAGTGGGAAGCCTGCTTTTCCTGCTGCAGCTCCCCCTGCTCACTCTTGCTCTCTCTGATAAATAAATCTAAAAAAAAAAAAAAAATACATCTCCCTACTTTGCACAGAATTACCTTCCTTAAGATTTGAATATGGGGTAGATTCAGATGGTAGCTTTCCTTCCTATAACTATACCCTGATCCCTTTGACTGAACCTATATTTTCCTTAATAGCCTCAACCACTAATTTTTAATGTAGAGCTTTCTAGATGGTTAAACTCATTCATTATCTTTGAATCTCCTGAATTTCCTTATTCAAGAACAACCTTATCTTGAAGCTCTGGCAGTTCAACAACCCATGCCCTGAAAGTGAGGAGCAATGGGATAAAAGCACAGAGAAAACTGGACTGTAAGTAGAACATACAAACCTCTTTGTTGTATAAAACTGGTGCTTTCTTTAAATCCCAAATTCTGGGACAGCTGGCTGGCTCAGTTGGTAGAGCATTTGACTCTTGATATCAAGGCTGTGAGTTTGAGCCCCACAATGGGTGTAGAGATTAATTAAAAATAAAATCTTTAACAAAAAGTAAATAAAAAATAAAATCCCAAATGCTGTACACTGGAGACAATATGGAGCTAAGCACAGCCTATTAGCAACAAATTAAGTACAAAAAAAATTTTGACCTGAAGGAGGCCCACAAAGGTACCCTGCCTATACTCACCACTCCCACTTCTTTATCTAAACTCAGGGATCTTTATCCATGTTGTAGTGGATTTTGCATAGAGTGGGAAAGAGGGAAAACAAGTTCCACAGATTTTTTCATTTGCACTTGGCCTTTTTAGCACCATTATTACTACCACCCTAGTTCAGTCAGAAAAGACTAAGTCCCAACCAATTTCTCTGCTTCAGGTCTCTCCACTCCCTTATAAACTGTGCATAGCACCAAACTAATTTCCTAAATTACCAGTTTCATTAGAGCACTCCTCACCTCAAAAACTCTTAACAGCTCCCAATACTATGCACTGGAAAAGCCCAACTAACATTCAAAGCCCAGGCTAGCATTATCCTACTTTTATAATACACAATTGGTTTCCTCCTACTTCCCACACTGAAATTCTCTAAGGCTCCAACTAGACTAATCTGCTCACTGTCCGTCCCCGACCCCAAACCCGGCATGCCTAGGCTGGATTACGTAAACACCACTGCTCACCCTCCCACCCACTTTCTGCTTTTCCTTCAAAGGCCAGCCCAGACCCCCCTCCTCTATCTCTGCCCTAAATTGTGCTCCCAAAGCACGCACTGACCAGACTGCCCATCTTCTGACCCTAGTCAAACACATCCTTTTTAGCTGGCTATACTCTCTTGGCATCTTAATCCGCTCAAACGAAGTCAAAGTTCCTTGGAAGGCAGACCACATACTTACACAGAGGGTCTATCACAGTGCCCTGCACTTTTTAGGTCCTAGATACTATTAAAACCAGAGGAGGGGTTCAAATGATACATCTAAGTAAGGCAAGACCATACTGCGCATCTTTTCCAATTCCTCTCTATTCACAGTAAAAGGCATTCAGCGTTCGCTACAAGGCTATGTATTTCTAGTATACACTGAGCGGCAAAGTGGAGTGAGCACGCCACCGGATGGCAAAAAAAAAAAAACAAAAAAACCCGCGTCCCCATCCTGGTTTTTGCCACAAGCCCTGCGATTGGGAAATCACACAATATCTCTGGGCCTCGGTTATCTCAGGTGTAAAACAAGGGAGCTGCTTTGACGGATCCCAAGGTATCCTTCGGCTCCCGAATCCCCCCGGACAGGAAACCCAACACTCGTCTACTCACTCAGGCGCAGGCACGCAAACTTTTACGGTTCCCAACGCAGGCATTTCCATATAGTAGTGGAAACTCCGTCCCCATGGAAAAAAGCAGGGCTGAGAGGAGGGTGAGAAGCGGTCTCCCTAGACTCGGATTCCTTTACCCCATGACCAGGGGCAGTCGGACTGAGGTTCCCGGCCCCTCACGAGCAGACTCCCAGGAGAGTGGCACGGCAAGGCTCCCGGGAGCCGGCCGGGGTCACTCCGTCCGCGCCCGCGCCCCCCGCACTTGTGACACACGCCCCGTGACCCCGGGTCACAGTCCCCGTCCGCCCTCACCGGCCCGAGGGGCGCCCTCCTCTCCCGGCAAGGCCCCGCGCTCCCGCCCGGCTGGCTGCCCTTCCGGGCCCCGGGGCGGCCTCTGCGCGGGCGTCCGGGCCCCAGGCCGGCGGGACTTCCAGCTTCTTGTGGATGCTGGCTTTAAGTGCTGAATCACCACTTTGCAACCCGAGCTCCAAACCACCGTGACCCGCGGGCCCCGAGGGCCCAGGCGCTCCGCTCCGCTTACCCACAGAGGCGCTCCGGGGACAGCAGGCGGGCGCCGAGGACGGAGCGGAAGGTGCTGGGCCGCGCGGAGTGCAGCAGCCACGCTAGCCGGTACCGCATAACCCAGCACAGCCGCCGGGAGCACCGCGGACGCTTCCTTCTTGCGCCGGGAGCCGGCCCTGCCCACTGCGCATGCTCAGTCCGCCGCGCCGCGCCGCCTCCCGGGAGCCTCTGAGTGGCCGGCGCTCCGGGTTTTGCCTGGAACCCGACAGGGTCGGGGAGGCGGGCGTCCCAGGCCCGAGCCAGCGAGCGGGACGGAGTCTGGCCGGGGAGCGGCGGGAGCCCAGCAACCAGGCTTTCCCAGGCTGGGGGTTACCGGCAGGGTCACACGGGGCGCACGTGGGAGAGCGGCGAGGTGTACCTGGCTAAGTGTATGTAGGGGACAGAGTCTCACGAATATTGTGAGAGCACAAGGGGCCATGTTTGCGGTGGCGCCCCCATTGGCTGTCGCTCTGGGCGGTGCAGGTGTTGGAACGAAGTCCGAGGATTAGGCGGCCTCACGGCGAAAGATTCTGCGGGGGGCGCGCGGCCCGCGGGCTTCCTCTAGAGCGCGGTGGGCCCCGGGGGGAGTTAGATCAGGGGGACCACGAGAGGGAGGCGAGGACCTGGGGGAAGTTAGCAGCCCCTCACGGAGCAAGGGAGAGATGGGACTGGCCACGGCGAAAAAAAGCTTCCGTGGACTTTCAAATCCAGAGTAGAAACTCCTACTCTCTACTACTGCCGTATTAAAACAACACCACACACACATATATATAGTACTTCTATTGTCGGTTTACTTTAGTCACTATTTATAACTTTTTCCCCTGATGGCTTTATGGTGTTGTGCATCCAAGAACAACCTAATAGTTGTTAGGGATCTGACTTTCGATTACATTTCCATTTTACGGGGGTCTTTAGGACAAAGTGCAATTAGGGATAGTGACTCCCTAGCTTGAGTACCTTTAAGTCTCCGTCGTGACGGGCCTAGGGCTGCAGTCATAATGCTTTGAATCCCATTATTGCTTCAAATTAAGAATTCAGGAGGAGGTTCCCTTAATCAAATGGATGATTCATTAAAGAGCTACAGGGATAAAAAAAAAAAAATACAGTTTCGACTAAAGGCAACCGTTGGATGGATGGAAACTGAGGTACCAGAGATGAGGAAGCACTCCTAGTGCAATGTAGGGTAAAATTCCACAGTATTACATTCTAGCCTCAATCCACCTCTACTAGTGTCCTGTAGCTGCCCTAACAAATTATCACAAATTTAGTGGCTTAAAACAATAGAAATTTATTCTCTCACAGTCTGGAGGCCAGAAGTCCAAAATCAAGGTATTGTCAGCGCTGTACTCCCTACAGAGGCTCTTAGGGGAGAATCCGTTCTTTGCTACTTCCAGCTTCTTGTGGATGCTGGTTTCCTTGGCTTATGGCCACATCACTCCAATCTCTGCCTCCATCTTCACATTTCTTTCTCCTCTGTGTGTCTTTCTTCTCTTTTGCAAGGACATTCGTCATTGGATTTAGGGCACAATCACATAATCCAGGATTATCTCATCTCATCCTTAACTTGATTGCATCTGCAAAGATACTTTTTCCAAATAATGTAACACAGCTTCCTGGGGTTCTGACATGGACACATATTTTGGGGACCACCACTCAACTCGGTACCCCACCTTTCCAGCTTCTACCCCCACCCTCTACTAACTGCAATTCACACAGCTGTCACAGCAAATTAATGCTTATAACAATACTAACTTGTCAGATCTCTAGCAACTTTCAAGCCCAGCTGAAATAGTGTTGCCTTTACAAAACTTTCCCTCACTTCCATTCCTCACATACCTTATTGGAAGTAACCACTCTCTGATCTGAGCTACCAGAGTAGTTGGCCTCTCTCCAAAGGCACTTATTTGAATTTTAACCTTCCATGCTTGCAAGAAGCAGTAGATTAGGAATGATGTCTTAGACATTTTTGTATCTCACCTGGCAGCAAGCCCAGTGCTTAGTTACTTAACACTTATCAACTGCATGTTTGCTGAATCTGATTAAGCCTCTAGATGTAACTACCATTCATAGGAAATTCAGGATATAGGCATGCTGAATCACACCGTAAGGATACAACCAACAAAATTTAGAATGTTTGGAACACTACAGGAAAAGTGACCTGAATTGCATAATAAGAGAGGAAGGAGAAACCTATGCATTAAAGGGGACTTAGAATTGACAAGTTATGACAAGCTGTTCATAAACTTTTATATGAAAATGCAAAGAGGGGCGCCTGGGTGGCTCAGTCGGTTAAGCGACTGCCTTCGGCTCAGGTCATGATCCTGGAGTCCCGGGATCGAGTCCCGCATCGGGCTCCCT